GTGCCCATAATCGAGTGTGGCCGTCAGTGTTTTTTTTTTTTTGCTTTGTTCGATCTGCTGATGGGCTTAATTCGTTTCTTTAAAGAGAATACTATAACAGTACGTAGCGATAGGCTACTGGATAAAGAAAGAATCTATCATCTGGATCTTTACAATAGCTTCTCCACATATTCAACGACTCTTGGAAATCTCCTCCTTCTTATGGGCTCTGACGAGCATAGGTTGGGCATTTTTCATTTACCAGTAACTCTCATGTAGATGCTATGATTCCTAGTACATCTTTATCGTTCATTCCTTTTCCAGTTGGTTTCCACATTTTTATGTATCTCACGAATTTCTTCCATGTTCTGCCATGAATTCTATTTTCTTTCTTATATGCTGAAAATGAAGGATACTGTGGAAAAAATCATTCAGGGAAGAAATTCAAGTTTTTCTAACCTTTCCTCTATTATTTAGCTCTCGCCAACGTGAGTTAATTGTTGACCTACTCCCTCCTACTTCCGTGCGCTCTGAACCTCATAGTCTTCCTCGTTCTGTTCATCAGATACTATCTGACGATGAATTTAATGAAGAACAACGTAAGGCGGTGTTTTCGGCATTGCTCTGCAAAGACTACACTCTAATCGAGGGTTTCCCAGGATCAGGTAGTAATTGATATTTTCCTTCTTGCCCTCGCTAGTATATGTTGGGATTTATTATATGATTCTTCAGGAAAAACAACTACAATAGTTGCTTTGCTAAGATGTCTTCTTGAGATGAAATGTTCCGTATTGTTGACTGCAAACACCCACTCGGCTTTGGACAATGTGTTAGCTAAGCTGAGAAAGGTAAGCAAATTTACAGTTCTGGTGCAATAACGCGATGATCGACTCGATATTTCTAGCACGTAGAGCCAGAGAAATTGCTTCGTCTTGGAAAGTTCTCGTCTGGGTGCAGTGCTGTTAGTGACTTAACGCTAGAGTCGAAAATCAGGAGTGGTGAAGGCGACAAATATATCCTTGCTAGGAACATACTCAAGAACACGGTTTGTTCTACATTGCACTTGAAAGCTTTTACACCTCGAGTTTTTTGTTGAAATTTCAGCCATTAGTTGCGAGTACCTGTCATTACGTACCTAGAGAGCTTTTGTTTTCATGGAGGAAGTTTGATTACTGCATTGTTGATGAAGCCTCTATGGTAA